TTTTCATCTGACTTCAAAGAAGTCAAAAGAGCCCTGGCTGGTGTTAATCAGTGGTTGGAGCATTGGCCCACCCACCATGGGGTCTCGGATTCGATTTCTGGTTGGGAGGCACATACCTGGATTGCAGGTTCAATCCCTGGCCTGGTCAGGGAGTGTGCAGGAGGCAGCCAATCGATGTGTCTCTCTCTCACACCAATGTTTCTCTCTCTCTCTCTCACTCTTTCTCTCTCTCTCTATCTTTCCCTCCTTCCCTCCCTTCCACTCTCTCGAAAAATCAATGGAAAAAATATCCCCAGGTGAGGATTAACAAAAAATAAAATAAAAAAATTAACTATGTGGTCAGGTAACTTCTGGACTAGTAGTTCTCAATGTAGTCCAGAGAGCCCTACAGGTCCAAAGACCCTTTCAAAGGATCCAAGAGATCAAAAATACTTTCCTAGTATTACTAAGACATTATTTGCCTTTTGCATGCTCATTCTCTCACAACTGTACCGTGGAGCTTTCCAGAAGCTATGAACTGTGATGTCTTAACAGAATGAATGCAGGAGCAGACATGGAAATTTCAATGTCTTCTATTAAGCCAGACATTAAAGTTATTTGCAAAAACATAAAACAGTGCCACTCATCACTTTGTTCCATTAAAAAAAGTTTTTGCCTAGCCAGTGTGGCTCAGTGGATTGGGTGTCATCCCATGGACTGAGAGGTTCCAGTTAGATTCCCAGGTGGGGAGCGTGCTCCGATTGCAGGCTCGATACCCAGTGGGGGGCTGTGCAGGAGGTGGCCAATCAATGTTTCTCACATTGATGTTTCTAACTCTCCCTCCCTTCCTCTCTCTCTAAAAAAAAAAATCAATAAAAACATACTTTTTTTTTTTAAGTTATGTTGCCCTGGCCGGTTTGGTTTAGCAGTTAGAGAGCATCAGCCTGTGCTCTGGGTCATGGGTCCAATTCCCAGTCAAGGGTACATGCCTGGGTTGCAGGTTCAATTCCCCAGCCCTAGTCAGAGGCATACTGGAGGCAACCAATCAATCTCTCTCTCTCTCTCCCCCTTCTCTCCCACTCTATCTAAAAATCAATGGAAAAATATACTCAGGTGAGGAAATAACACACACACACACACACACATTATGTTAACATGTAATATTTTATCTTTTTAATGAACTAAATTTTTTTTTCCTTATTGATTTTAGAGAGAGAGGAAGGGAGAGGGAAAGAGAGATAGAAACAATGATAAGTGAGAACATCAACTGGTTGCCTCCTGCATGCCCCCACTGGGGATTTGGCCCACAACCTGGGCATGTTCCCTGACCAGGAATCGAACCAGCAATTTCTTGGTGCATGGTTCGCCGCTCAACCACTGAGCCACAGCAGCCAGCCTGAATTAAATATTTTTTAAGTTCCTCATTTTTATTCTAATCCAGTAAACATCACTAGATATAACTCACTTAAACAGAAGGTCTTTGGGTTCCTCAATAACTTTTGAGAGTGTAAAACCAGTACTGAGACCAAAAAAATTGAGAACTACTTTCTAGCCCTTCCTATGTTTATGTTTTGCCAAACAATTAAAGCATTTAATTTCCTAATTACTACTGAAGAGATGTTGCTGCCCTAAAGATAATTTTAGAAATTTGTCTTAATAAGAACAAAAAAATGTCCAAAACCTTAAAAAGAATTGTATCCACTAATTTAAAAAAGAAATCATTAATTACATTTTCCCAAATAAAAACAATAACAATGTTAAAACTAAAGTGCAAGCTAAAAGACCACTCACTCATTATCTATAAGCTTTGGACATGAAAAGGGATAGAGAGAAGGATGTCTCCTAACAGAAAGGTTAGGGAACATACATCCTAGTAAAGAAGGCATCTAACCTGGACCCTAAACATATATAAGATTTCAACAAGTAACCACTGGGAATGAAAGGTATCCCAGAAAAAGGAAAATCATACATTCAAGAAACAGCAAGTACAAAATAGCTTCCATAGAACTTGTGATGGTCTCCAGCAGGAAGATAGACTGGAAAATTAGGTTGGAAGCAAAAATAGAGGGTCTTATAAGACAGGATAAGCAATCTGTGGCTTTAGTTAATAGGCAAAGGGAAGCCACTGGTAGGTTTTTAAAGTCACTGGAAGATTGACCGGCCAGTGTGGCTCAGTAGTTGAGCGTCGAACCATGCACCAAGAGGTCACCAGTTCAATTCCCAGTGAGGGAACATGCCCAGGTTGTGGGCCAAATCCCCAGTGGGGGGAATGCAGGAGGCAGCCAATCGATAATCTCACTTATCAATGTTTCTATCTCTTTCTCCCTCTCCCTTCCTCTCTCTCCAAAATCAATAAAGAAAAAAAAAATGTTTTAATATGAATTAAAAATAAAGTCACTGGAATATTTACCATTGGAAGGTAAAATATCAGATACTTTAATAATACTGTGGATTGGACATAGTAGAAACAGGGGGCAACATTTAGTGTACTATCATACCAATCCAAGCAGGAAATAATAAGAGCTTAATCTGGGTTAGGAGCTAGGATAAAAACAGATACAGGACATGCTGCAACCTCTTCACTAATAATTACTTAGTTTAAACATTTCAAAAACGTATTACACAAAACAAGGTGGCGTTCACATTTCTTCCATTAAAGAACATTCACACTTCACCTGACCAGTGTGGCTCAATGGATTGAGCATCGTCCCAGGGACTAAGAGGTCCTGGTTCAATTTTCAGTCAGGGCACATGCCTGGGTTGCAGGCTCGATCCCCAGTAGAGGGTGTGCAGGAGGCAGCCGATTGATGTTTCTTTCTCACATCGATGTTTCTATCTCTCTCTAATAAAAATTTTTTTAAAAATCAATAAAAAGATTTAAAAAACCAACATTTACTTCATAGTCAATAGTCAATATTTCAACATACTCAAGTGTGTTTCCTTTTTAAAAAACTGTTAGGAATAACTAACAGTATTCTACATTAAGACTACAAACTGGGTAATAAAGAGCACCATATGCATATTTTCAATATTCTAAATAGATACTCACTATGCAAAATTTCATTCAAGGATGAACATTTTAAACTCCAAAGTTTACTGAGATGGAATATACAAAGTCTGAATGAGAATTCTCTATACAACCCTATAAGACCCACATCACTACATAATTATAATAGTCAACTTTTCTTAAAATCATTTTTTAACAACTCAACTCAACTTGGCCAATATTCTTCTACTAGGCCCATATTTTCCAAACACTAGTGCCTTCTTCATTTTCTACCCTCCTCCCCACTCACCTCTCCACCCAACAAATTCTCTTTGTATGTCTGTAAGGCAAGACACAGTATGATCTTAAGGCAGCTTGAATATATAATTCTTATAATAACAAAAATCTAGAATTATTAATCTTACATTTTACAGGAGAGGAACCAATGATATACGAAATTTCCATTCACATGAATGACAAATGCATCTATTAGAAATGCTGCTTTACCATTAGGGGGAAACAAAGGGGGAAATACACACAATAGATGGGTGGAAAATCTTACAAACTTTATGAAACACTGAAAAGCTGCATCTGGATTGTAGCCACATTATAAAAGCAAATAATGAAGGCTCCAAAATGAAGGGAAAAGGAAAAAATTCCAAGTGATCATTAAGAGTGAAAAGGGCTGGTTTAATATTAGTATGTTTTTAATATAGCATCATTTAACACTCTGTGACTAAATGATTAAAAAAAAAAAAGAGGATAATTCACTGTTCACAGGGACACAGGAAATAATTTCTGCATACATTCTATAAAGCAGTTATACTTCATTACACTTCCGTAGTCTCAAATTCTTTCAAACGTTTCCAAAAATACAAGGCCTGTAATAATTGAGGTTCCCAATGACACACAATTTATTCTGTAGGTATAGCTATAGTACATTTTTAAAAGACAACGAATTCATGCTCAACAAAAATAGGGAGTCACAAAGGCCCTCTACTTATTCAAAATCATTGCATAAAGCACTGTCCATAATTGTATACAGGGTTTGAAAATCTGACAGATAATAATTATAAAATGGGGTATACTTTAAAGAAAAAAAATTACCTAACTTTTCTATTTTCCTTTCCTTTTCCTTTCCTACCAAATAGACAAAATGTCTGTAAGGGTCTCAGACAAAGGTCTAAAGTAGAAATACAATATATGTATACTTCATATTATATGTATTCAAACCTATCACATATATGTACACATCACATATATTCATTCACACAAGAAATGTTCTTCCTTTTTTAAAATGTAAGAATTGAAGTTACATTAAACCCTATCCCATAAATTAAATTAAATCACTACAAATTAAAGACTAATAAAATATTGCACATAGATATCTCTGAGCGACTATATTCGGAGAAGGAAAACCTCAGATTAAGGCCATGACTGAATAAAAACGCCCAGTCCCTGAAAATGACTAACCGGCATTTGGTTTCTGGAAGAGAAAAGAAGGGGGTGGGGGGGTCTTAAAATGAATAATCACATTGGCAAGCCAGTTTCAGAAGTTAACGAAGATAAAACAACGAACCAAATGTGACAAACGTATGAAATGACAAGCTTTAAAGAATTCCCCCAAAGGGAAAGACTGACTTCAAGACTGGGATATAATGCATCCTTTGCAGGTAGAAGAATCTTTAATTGGCAAAGAAAAGGTGTAGAAGAAGTGACAAAAACCTGAACGACACGCAAAGGCAAAAAAAAAAAAGTAAAAAAAAAACAACCAAAAAAAACTCGGGTTTCTCCTCCCACCCCCACTCCGACCCCCACCCCCACCCTCTCAGGACAATGGGATCAGGGTCCTAACTGAAAACTTTAAGCGTATAAACCAGCAGCAGTTTTACTGCAGCTCTAACTGCAAAATCTGCCCCACATCCCAAAGCTAGCGCTAGCGCACCCCGGAATAATTCTGCCCTGAAAACATCACCAAGGTCTTGTTAAACACAAATCAGACCCATCACAAATTTCTTTTTTTTCTCCCAAGTACCTGGAGGATCCATTTCAATATAAAATATCAGTTCTGTCGAATAGGGCATCATCACCTCCCTCCAGTCTGCGTCATCGCGGTCCATACTCCACACCGTATTGTACATCGCGCTGTCAGAGGCAGGTCGTCAAGAAGTATATAGAAAGCATATATTTTTTAATCTGATATTTAAAAATATATAATTGTAAAAGTCCCACACGGAAAGGTACTTCAGGGTTTCCAACGGCCGGTGTAAGTCCAGGCAACTATCAGGGCGAGGGCGAGGTCTTCCACCTCTCTCTTCTACAGCACCCAGCAAAATGCCCCCGAACTTTCAACCTACGGGATTTGCTCCTCAGGAAGGTACAAAGAGGTTCGGGGTGAGGGGCAAAGGTGTTAAAAAGCTGCTTCCCAAAAACCCCGTCTACACAGTCGCTCTTCAAAAAGAAGAGCTCCCACCGCCTCCAAATCTTCCCGCGAAAGCCACTTTTGTGTCTTTCGATAAATGGAGATGAGGGAGGAAAAGGGGAATGCGCTGGGAGCAAGGTGGGGACGTGACAAAGGAAGGCATAAAAAAGGGGGCTGGGTACTGCATTCAAGTTTCGGGGTCCCACAGGTCTGCAGAGAGCGATCCCCTCAGGAGCCGGGACTCGGGCTCCGTTTGGTCGGGCTCGAAACCCAAGCTGCTGCAGCCTCGAGACCGGGGCCGGTTGGAGAGCCCAGTTAGCTCTGTTCGGCTGGGGGCTCCCGCCGGGTTGCAACCAGGACTGCCCGTGCCGGGTTCCCTCAAGCTCTGCTCTGACTCCAGTCACTAGTTTCATTTTAACGGCGCGGAGAGGAACACCCTTCCCCGCCTCCATGCTCCCCCGCGGAGGCGCCACCCAATCGCGCCGGGCAGGGGGACGGCCAACATCTCCACTGCCCCTTCCACTTTATCCCGCCTTGATATGCTGGGGATTCTGTGAGATGCTTGAGTAAGTGCTCAGAAAACTATCCTCAATCTCGGCTTTCAACTCTCCTCAACGCTCTCCAGGCCTCAGCTCCTTCACCATCCATTCTCTCTCCACCCAGCCTCGATCAAAATGGTCCGGTCCGGGCGCTGGCCGCACGCCAGGAGCCGGTGCCCGGAGCACGCGAGCCGGGCGGGGAGAGGGGGGGAGGAGCGGGAGGGCGGGGAAGAGAGGATAAAGTGGGTAGTGATTGGCTGATCCCGGTTGCCCGAGCCCGGAGCCTGCGTCTTTTGTCTGCCTTGCTCCAGCGAAGGAGCGGGAGACGACTGCGCGCCCCAAGCGAGCCAATCAGGAGCCAGCCGGCGCCGGCCGGTGAGGCAGCGATTGGTCAGAGCTCAGTTACTAAGCGGGACAAAGGCAGAAGGGGGAAAAGAAAAGAAAAGGAGGAAAAAAAAAACGAAGAAAGAAAGCGCAAACGGCGGTTACTGACAGGCTGGGCCAGTGCTCGAGGGCTCAGGCTGCCCGGAGACAGGCGGGGCTCCCGCTGAGGCTCGGTCCATACGGACGAGTGAGGAGTGGGGGAGGAGCGGCTAGCGCGAGACACCTCTGCCCGGAGTCTGGCCGCGGGGGTGGGGAGCGGACGGAGAGGGGCGCTTGCTGTCACTCGGCGGGACGCGCGCCCTTCTGGTCCTCGGGAGCTCCCGGGGCAGAGCCCCTCACCACAGACCTCTTCACCGCCCCCCACCACCAGGCGAAGTTGTCAAATAAAGCAAAGGTCCACAAACCCACTTGCAGGACCGTTACCGCTCAATACGAGGATGTGCCCAGGGCCCCCTGCAGCCTTCCTGGCAGCTACCTGAGACTAGACCCGGCTTCTCCCCGAGCAGTTAGGCATTTCTTAAGGAGGCATTTCTCAGTCCATCTGCGCTTCCCATCCAAGGACTTTTGAACTCAAAGGTAACTCCCCACGCCTGAAATAGTGGGACGCCACAGCAGGCCCCTCCGCTGGAATGCTCAAACCAGAAAAAAAATTTTTTAGAAGGCTTGCCATTACAGTGCATGTGTGATTTCTGAGATAAATCACAGGTGTTGGAACCCCTAGCCAAAAGGACTCTATTCTGTTTCTCTGACAGACCCTCTTCCACATATACCGAGCCCCTCCCACACCCCACCTCAAGCTTAAAACTATAATAGGCTTCCGTATGAAAATGCTGATTTTTTTTTTTCATGCATTTTAGAAACAGCTGATTAACTTGCTGGGGAACACTGAATAGCCAAAAGCAGATTTGTGTCTTTGTGAAGGTTGTGCCTGGAATTGCGATTCTGCAGACTCTACAATACAGTCTTGGGAGGCCAAAAACTACTCCATTTCCTCTTTACACAGGAGCAATAAAGCCCATTGTGTTTGAGTTGACAACCTGACTGACTTAAGCCCTAGCAAAACCTTCTACCCTGGTAGCTCTGCTATATTGATTCATGCCTGTGGAAGAGTTGCCACATTTCACCTCTACCTCCTAAAGTGGTTCTGCCTTCCTTAAAGGTGCTCTGAGTTGAGACAGTTGGTGAGAACAGATGTTTAAAATGTGTATGGACTGGGTATAGAGTCATGTATTGAAGAGCCACTAGAATGAATGGACAGTATTGGGCCAAAAAAACACATTAGGATTCTTTTTTTTTTTTATCCTCACCCGAGGACATTTTTCCATTTTTCGTTCAGATAGAGCGGGAGGGAGAGAGAGGAAGAGAGAGAGAGAAACATCGATGTGAAGGGACACATCGAGTGGCTGCCACCCGCACGACCAACCAGGGCCGGGGACAAACTGCAACCAAGGTACGTGCCCTTAGCAGGAACCGAACCCGGGTCTCTCTGGACCGCGGGCCGACGCTCCAACTGCTGAGCCAAACCGGCCAGGGCCACATTAGGATTCTTGCATGCTTACTGTCTTACATTTCTAAAATCCAAATGTAATTCAGAAGCCAGATCAACTTTGGGACAGGATATGCTGTTAATTTAAATGTTCTGTACCATTCCTCTAGGTAGATGCTGGAAAATCAACTCTAATCTGTGGCTGGCTTCCTAGCAGTCTCTTTACTTCACTATATCTGGGAGCCAGAAGTACTCAAATTTGATAACTCAAAAGGCAGAACAATCAGTCAAGGGCAAGTTAGTTTATTTTTGTTCACGGGTGTCCTTGTGCATTCCCAAACAAAATGAAGGTGAGAGGAAGTGTGGAAAAAATAATAGCTTTCAGATTTCCACAGCAGCTTTTGCCTGAACCACTTTTCATCATTTAGTGGTGGGGTTTCCATTTCTAATACAACACAGAGCAATCACCCAGGCCTTTCCCACAGCTATGGCTTTGGGAGATGTAATAAAGAAGCAGCACAAAAAAAAAAAAAAAAACAGCACAGTATATAATAATCTGGTGCTCAAGACTGGCACATGAGCCCTGGCCAGTTTGACTCAGCGGTTGAGCATCGGCCTTCGGTTTCCACTAGGGGCACATACCCCCCCCCCAAAAAAAAAGACTGGCACATGGAATAAAACTGTGATTCAACTTTGCCACCTAAAATTGTATTGACCCAACTGTCCAACAAATAAATCTTTGAATAGGAAACCTCTGAAGAATAACAGTGATGCAGTGATGAATCAAGGGGAAGCACACTTCTTCAAATGGGCTTGAACCCACACCCTGCCATGGTGGGAAATACCTGTCATATGATACTGGCCTTACTTTCTTTAGTTGAGAAATAGAAGTGAGGTTCTGTTTGTCACCAAATCGCCTCAGGCTCTTTGGCAAAGATATTAGCTCTGGTGTCCTGGATAATTTCCATCCTGGAGAATTATATTTGGCCTGAGTATGGATTAAATTCAGCTCTAAGAGCTCAAACTCGTGGGTCACAACCTGCTACTTTGGGAGTTGTTTTCTTTTTTCCTTTTGCCTCCCTTCTTTCTTTTTTCAGTTTAAAGTAGTCTTTGGTAAATCACAAAATCTGTCAGCCTTCATTTATATATTCTGTGAAATAGGAAATTGCCTTCAGATTTATGCAAGTTTCTTAGTTTATTGTGAAACACTCTGAGAATGAAAAAAATGCTACCTAAGTACTTAGAATTAATAGTTTCTTTCTATACCTCCAAATGGATAGGATTGCCCTTCACTTTTCACCTTGGTACAGTCTTCCTATGAATCTGTTCAAATAAGATCCATTTCTCCCTCTTTATTTCAGAGAGAAATATTTCAGATGAAATATTTCTTCTGTGCACTGAATATAGGGTATGATCTCAGAGCTCTCTGTGCCAGCAGAATCAGCCTGGAACTCAGCCAAAAGTTCTTCGTGATTAAAGGTACCATCTGAGCACACAATATTTTTTAAAAGCCTTGCAAAATGGAAACATACTTTTATTATTTTTTAAGGTCACTAGCATTTACCCCAGGACTGACTTAACCTTTAGGGAAGGATCACTGGCCTCAGCCCCCCTCTTTTTTTTTTTTTTTTTTGCCTCAATCACCCTCCCCCCACTTTTTTTGTTGTTGTTGTTGTTAATTCTCACTTTTCCATTGATTTTTAAGTTTTGGGGGTTTTTTTTGGTACGTCCCCCTAGCAGGAACCGAACCTGGGACTCTCTGGTCCGCAGGCCAACGCTCCAACCATTGAGCCAAACCGGCCAGGGCTCCATTGATTTTTAGATAGAATGGGAGGGAGGGGGAGAGAGAGAAAGAGAGAGAGAGAAACATCTATGTGAAAGAGACACATCAATTGGTTGCCTCCCACACAACCCCTATGGGGCCAGGGTGGAACCTGCAACCTAGGCATGTGCCCTTGACCGGGAATCGAACCTGCAACCCTTCAGTCCTTGGGCCAATGCTCTAACCACTGACAAAACTGGCCAGGGCCTCTGTTATCCTCTTTCCTTACCTACTTGTCTTGTGTTAAGACCAGTCCATGTAGCTAAATAAACTCAATAAATGAGATTCCAAGAAAACTCTACAAATTATCAGTTGCAGATTTCAGAACCTCCCCAGCCACATGCCTTTTAAAGGGGGGTATATCAAGTTTTTATGGAAAAGTTTGCCTTTAGAATATAAACAGAGCAATGCTGGTGGATCTTCTAGAAAGACATGTCACGTGGGAATTGATTGCCATCTCTTGAGCTAACAGTGTCTAAAATCATGATTTTTCCATTTTTCCAGAATGGTATACCTTTTACTTGGCATTTACTTTTTTTTTTTTTTTTTTTTTAACCTCACCTCTACATATTTCTTAGAACTTGCAAAACCCATAATAGGGCTCATCTATCAGCCAAGGCACTGAGAAATGACATTAGATAAATGAGTGGTCTTCACAGAAGTGTCATTCCTCCAGATGCTGCTAAATTCCTGAGTTTAGGGACACTGAGGGTTTCCTCAGATCCATCAGTACAAGATGTAGATCTTTTCTGCCTCACTCTACTTTGGGTTCTCCTTTAGCTTTAAGGGGTCACAAAAAAAGCAGGTCTCTCTCTAGCGTAATATACCCCCCTCTTTTTGGTGTCTGCCCTTCCAACAACACAGGGGCCACCTGGATGGTATGTATGCCACTACTGCAAACTTCCCCTCTATTGAGGCAACAGCTTTCAGCTTGGCTCTCACCAGGAGAGAGAAAGCAAATGAGATCCAAATAACAGGAACAATAGTCCAGGCTGTTTCACAAGGGCAGGGCACAAACAGGGCAGACAGCTGGTGAGCTCTGTTACCTCATTTAATCTCCATCACCCTGAGGAG